TGAACCCTATGGGCTTCACCTCTGACAAAAATGTTTTTCTGGTAATAAAAGCCAGTTGTTTTCATCAGAATCCAGCAACCATGTAGCTGCCAAGGAAACTGAAACTTAAAGGGACCACTGGAACAGCAGGCAGGTATCTCTCCATCCTTGTTAACTGTGTGGACATGTTGCCCCTGGCTCGGCTGGAATAGGGAGCAGCTTTGCAGTGTAGGGTGCTGGGACAGAGGGGCACAGGCAGTGGGGTTTGATCCCAGTTATCAACACCATATTTTTTCAAAGAAGAAAACAAGTGTTTTCAGGTGGAACATACCTGTCCTTGGCCAGTTTAAATTGCTACAAATAGGATTGCCAAAAAAAAAAAAAGAGGAAAAAATTGTTAGTATGATTTCCAGAAAGGGCAGCTGGCTGAGAAATAAGCATATTCATGAAGAAAAGCAGAATACCACTGCTTACTTTGAAGAAGAGGAAAACATCTGGTTGCTCCCTCATCTTCTGGAAAGACTGAAGATGTTGCACAGCCTCATCTCTCCTCTGTTCCATTTCCTTCTTCACTTTGGTAATGTCTGCCAATTGTTTTTTCTCATTGGATTGAATGTCACTCAGGATCTTCTTCTCTTTCTGAATTATCTCTGTCTTCATCTTATCAAACACATTTTGCAGCTGAGAAGTCACTGTTTTCATATTGGTCTAAACAAACAGGTAAGAAAATGGTGCCCTGGCTCAGGAACTCAACACTTCAGCTTAGTGTCTCTGTTTAGTAATTAGGATTGTATCTGTCCTTTTCACTGACTTTAGAAGGAAGCAGACAATAAGCATTTTCTTAGAATATCTGATTAAACAGAGAGTTAGGAAAATTAATCCTGATATAATAACAAAATCAGATAAAATTCAGCTAACAATGTGACAACTGTATTGGTACACACTGGAAATCCCACTTGTAGACTCAAACTGTTTTTCTTTTATTTAACAGATAGAAAACTTTAAAAATACATAATGATACATACAACCTGTGGTCTGCCAGTCCTGCAACCTGGTCTTTGCAACCACAGTAAATGGTGGAGTCTGCCAGATGGTTTCTCCAGTGGAGCTGTACTGGGAGGCTGTGAGAAAGGTTGGCTTCTGGCACCTTCTTACACCAGTGTTTTCCCTACTTTAGACTGTATCTCTTTCTAGTCTTCTGCTTCTAACAGTTAGTTGCCATTACTTATTTCTGGGAAATTGTGGAGGAAAGATGCTCTGACTTAGCAACAATCTGGGTACCAACCTTGAGCTGATCCTCGCTTTTCTGAAGCCCTTCTAGGGTGATAGCTAAAGTGCTTTTATGTTCCTGCAGCCGTGTCACCATATCCGAGAGTTCACCCTAGCAGAAGGAAAGACAGCATTGAACTTCATAGCAGGGAAGCAGCACGGGAAGCTTTAAACCTGACTGGCAGTTTGCGGACCTGGTGAAATGGCACGGATGCCTTTTACCTGCCTCTTTCATCAGTGAGTCTTGGAGTAAACTGCGTTCCCTTGCCTCCTCATAAAGATAAGGCATAATGGAAAGCTGATATGATCTTGAAATCTTTGAAGTCGATGTTAAATTTTTATATATGTGTAATTTTGCATGCGGTAGGTTAATAAACAACTTTCCCTTTGAATAAGTACATTTCACTTTAAATGAATAAATCTCGCTTTATCCGTTAAACTCTGTTCCTGCCAGAATCTTCACGTGTCTACTGCAATCCAAATCCTTAGTTTTCACATCTGTCAGCAGCTGTGGGATCTGAGGGTAAGGTAATAAGCAACCATCTTTTCTGAAGATCAGCGAAACAGTGGTACTTACTCACCCAGCTGTTTATTTTAACAGATGCCATGATCATTGAGTGCTGTTATACTGCACGATAACACATTTAAGAGGGGACATTAAACCTCGTTCTTTGGGGATTAGACAGTCTCTGAATGGTTCTGGTTGCTCCTGGCTGCTTCCAGCAGTGTTTTCACACCTCGAGCACCCACGAATAGCCACAGCAGATTCGCATTTCTTTAATAAAAATGATGCCAGAAAGCTTAGGTTTTCCATGAGGTAGTTGTCACAGGTGTAAAGTTTTAATTTTTGAAAAATTAAAAGACAAATAATCAAATTTGACCAACGTTCCTTGCACCAAAACCATTTTATAATTCCTCCTGAAGAGCTGCTTTCCTGATTTCCCTTGCTATCCTGGGGAGTTAAAAAAACCCAAAAAAACCCAAGAAGAATATGCAGCTGAGATCTCAGCTTACCCATGGAGATGGCTTCCCCATAGCCAGGGCAGTGTTGCTCCTTTACCAGCTCCAGGGATGAAGGAAATGGCTACTATCCTACACAGCCCACTTCTGTTTGGCAGCCCTGAATTTTTTATATATAACTTGGGGGAGAAAGTTAGTTTGCAATATGTGTAACTGCAAAGGATGCTTCCCGCTAATTCCCGAGGAGGCTGTGACCTGTCCCGAGGTGCAGAGCGAGCCGGACGTTTCCTGCCCGCGCACTGGGTTGCTGCAGGTTGCTTTGCTTGGGTTCTAAACTGAGCCCAGAAATTTCAAATGCAGTGAGTGAGCACAGCAAATGCATTTTATCCCCTCAGTCTCAGCTGATGCTGGAGGATTTCAAGGACAGCAGCTGGACTCAAAGGCAAGGATATCACACACACACACCCCCCCTATCTCTGTGCCTGCTGGGATGCTGGCTCGGCAAAACTTAGGGCAGAGGGAGGAGGGAGCCAGAGGGAAGGGCCTCGAGTGGGAAAACCTGTTTCCCCACCCAAAGTTCAGCAGTGGTGGGGTCCCCGAGGCTCTGTGGAGGAAGAAACTTAATCCCTGCAAGAATACTTCTTAATCCCAGGCGGGAACACCCTGGTGAGTGGCAGTGCGCACTTGCCTGGGGCTGCACACGACAGGCACGCACACGGGCACGCACATCCGTGGCACGGGACAGCGGAGCCCCGCGCCTGCCTCTCGCTTGCTCTCCTGCGCACTCGCCCACGTCAACACGCACTGCAGGATTTACCCACCGTTGTCCTGACCAGCCCCAGAAAAACTTTGCTCTGCTCTTCTTCCTCTACTTAGCCTGCCAGCTGCTGCGGCAACACAGAGGAAGAAATGAAAAGCAAATTCCAGCACAACGCACCAGTCCCCGCTGGGGCAGACATGAAATCCCCTGAGCTGCTGCCTGCCTGCCCTCGCCCCCTGAAAGCCTCACCACCCCTCCTGCGGCTTGCCCCCTTCCTCCAGGTCAGGAGTTTGGAGCAAACCCTGCAGGGGCGGTGGGGAGAGGAGAGCCCCTTACCAGCTGTTTGTCATGTGCCTCCTTCAGGGTGATGATGCTGTGGCCCTTGTGGCGTCCCGCAATAGAGCAGAGCACGCAGATGTACTGCCCGTCGTCCTGGCAGTAGCACTCCAGCAGCCTGCTGTGCTCCAGGCACCTCCTCTCCTCCGCCGTGCTGCCTGCGCCCACCTCCACCAGGACGTGGTCCTGCTGGGAAGCCTTGGCGTTGTGTTTGTTCAGATGGGCCTGGCACAAAGACGCATCGCAGATCAGGCAGGTTTTCACCGCCGGCTGGGACCAATCCAGGCAGAAGTCACAGGGAACCATCTCCTTCTTCCCCTCTGCAGAGCCCTGGTCCTGTTGTCCTTTGGAACTGGTGGCCAGAAATGCCTCCACGATGCTGCACAGCTGGAAATTCTTCTGCAGCTCCAGGATGGGCCCCAGATGGAACTTGCACATGGGGCAGGTGTAAGGAGCCTTGGATTGCTGCTGGGTACCAAGTGCCTTCTGGATGCACTGCTTGCAGAAGCTGTGACCGCAGCTCAGCGACACCGGGTTCCTGTACAGACCCAGGCAGATGGGACAGCTGAGTTCGTCCTCCAGGCTGCCAGCCCCTCCAAATTCTTCCTTAGCTTTTGCCATGGCTACAGAAATGGCGCGTTAGCCAGCCTGCGAGAAACGAAACTAGAAATACGTCCTTGGCTTTGTGCCCCGGTTGGAGACCCAGCCCAGAGGCTGCAAGTCCTTCCTGTCTGCCCTGTGACAGGCCGGCGGAGATACACTCCCCAGCCCAGGCTCCACCCGCAAATAGCTCCTATGAGGTGCAGGGCCACTTGTAGATGTTTTCCCTCTGTCCCAGGCAGCATCGGTTGGTGTGCGAGTCCCCAGCAGGCTGGTGGGAGCAGGGGGTGCTGGGAAGGGCATGGGATGGACAATTCTCCTACAGCCCTCTGCCCTCCTGGAAAAATCCCCCTCAAGGGCAGTGAATTAAAGATAAACCCTGGCTGAGAAGAGCATGAGCCTTTCTGGAGTGAGTCAGGAAGTCCCTCTGCTTTGTCTGGTTCTTCTCCACAACAGTTACAGATGCTCCCCTACAGGTAAAATACGGAGGACCCAGGGGAATGTTTTACCAGGACTTGTTGAGGCTGGTCTCCCACCTCCAGCCAGCTGGCAGGGAAATGGGGGCTGGCGAAGGCTCCCGGAAAGGCACTCCAGGATGGGAGCATCCCTGTACCCTGTCATGAGCCTGGCTTGCCTCGCTTGTACCATCAGACACCAGGCAGAGCAGCAGCCTCATGCATTTTGGAGACCCAACTCTATCCACATGGTTTTCCGTATCAATTTGGTGTATAAAATGCAAAAGACAAAACACAGCCACTTTCTAAGACCGAACAAGGATTTCTTTTAGCATATGCAAAACTGTGGTGTCCCTCAAGGTCCTTCTCTGTCCCTGCTTGGGCAGAGAGCTCCTGCCTGGACCTCTTCATGCAAATACCGTGGCTCTGTCTGAAGGCAGCCGAACCACAGGCAGCAGGCAGGAATATCACCTCTTCCTCTCCAAGGCGTTTAGACAATCATAAGAACGAACTAATCCAGGCCCCATATGGCACAGACTAAAGGCACGGGAGTTTTCCTCTTTATTACTCCATTTACTGTGAGATTTTTGCATAGGGGAGGAGAAAATTGAAATTGAGGCAAGAGGTAGGTAAGTGGTCTATCAGAGATCCTACAGGGGATGACAGGAGCAGGGAAAAAAGGGAAACCAGGTGTGTCTTATTGCCTAGTCTCTACTCACCTCCCAGGCCAGCTTTGCTTCTGCAATGGATGGCTCAGGTGTGCAGGACAGGTGGAGGAGGGCAGAAGTTCAAGCTGATGCCTTAGAGCAAAGATCAGCGCTGCTGCTGCTTAGTTCTGTCGCAGTTAATGTTGTGCCGTCACCTTTTTTATAAACTAAATTGCCATTTAGTTTTGCAAACTAAATTATTTTAATAACATGTAGCCAACACAGCATTTGATACAGCCAAGCAAAAAAACGCAACTTAACGATATTTGCATCGTGATTAACAGAACAGATAAGATAGGAGCTCTTGCAGTAAGCAGCAAGATATACCCCACAGAGGCCTTGTCCTCACACAGATAAACCATCACAGCAGCCCAAAATCCAATTTTTAATGTGCTAGCTTAGCACAGCCTCCAGGCAGCAGCAGTCCCAATACATATGGAAATATAAAACAGGACCTCGTCCCCACATCACTACAGGAGATTCAAAGAGCCATCAGACACACCGAAGATAGCACGGGCAGGATACTTTGAAGGGATGTTTACTCTCTGTAGAAGCTCGAGGCTCTCAGCAGGATCTCCGTCCTTGACAGACACATTATAAAATGACAGTGTATTTCTTCCACAATCTAACTCTACCCTGACCACTTTGAGAGCTGCAGGTAAGTTCTTTTCTGAAATCATTGCTTGACCTAGGAACACAGAGAGGTAACAATTAGACAGTTGCAGGTAGCACTCAGTGTTGGGTTGAGTGATTCCAAGCTTCCAGCGACTCGCTTTGCTGGTGTCCACCTCCCAGAAGTGACAGCCCTCTGAGAAGCTCTGGTCACTCTGTGCATGTGGGATGGGATTGTATGGATATGGTATCCCAAAGGAGAAAGAAACAAGTGAAGATGCAATGACTGTGTTGCTACAGTAAGCAGATCCACCTCCTTGATACATTGAAGAAGTCAGATGTTCATGAACTATAGAAAGAAAAAAAAAAAAAACCACATTATGATTAACAGAAAATTCTGCAGATTTACTTACATCCCCATTGCTGAAAGCTGGATTTCCCAGTCCAAGTCATCCTATCCAAATCATCCAATGCAAGTCCAACCCACCCAAGTCATTAAAAGCATATGTTAACTGAAACAACTCCTGCACCTCTCTTAGCTGCTCCTATGTAATTCTAAAGGGGGGTGATATCACATTTCAAGAAATGCTGCTCTTCCACAATTTTTAAGTGTCTTTTTGCTTTTTGTTTCCAACTACAGCAACTCTTAGATTTTAGTTTTCCATCATTGTCCTGCAGAGCTTCATTAAGCATTTTTAAAAACTCTGCAGATTAACTTCCATGTACAAGAAATGTGTGAACAGTAGCACAGTCGTTTTATAAAAGCTTATTTGCTTAGGATCGTTTGAAGTTATTTTCTAGAACTCTCAAAACTTCCTAGCATGACCAGTCATAAGAAGGTAATTCTACACTCAGGAATTTGCAGAATGTTTTTATTCAAACCTTCTCTTGCAGGTAATGCATTTCAATATCATGGCATTTTCTGCTCTGGAAGTTATTCCTTCAGGAAACTGAAACAGCAGCAGTGACTTGGGCAACTAACCAAAAGTGCTCAGATGGCATAGATGATGAGGAAAACCTGGATCTGAGGTTTTCTAGCCAGAATAGGTCTGGACTATGCTTACAGGGATGGCAGAGACTGAGCTCAGGCATGGCTGTGAGCACGGTCTGCTGCTTAGTGGACCCAAGGCTGTACGGATGGTGGCCAATTAGGTGTGCACGTTGCGCACTGTCGCACACGCTCTGGACAGAGCCTTCCCACCCCAGCTGTCTCGGTCTCGACTCTGGGCTCACTGTCAGCAACGGCTCAAGCACCATCAAGACAGCAATAATAAGGGAACCCTAATTTTTTCAATTCAGTTGGACAAGCATCCCACCGTGCACAGCACAAGGACTGTAGGTTGATCTTACAAAAGAGTAGAATTATTTACATAGAAAGAGTAGATTGTTTATCTCATATGAGAAACTCCACCTCCTGCTGCTGCGATGAGTTCTCAACTTTCCCTGTGCTTTGAATCAAAGTGATGCTACAGACAGAAGAGGTGTTGCTATTCTCTTCTCGTAATCCTCCCCAAAAATTCCTGTGACAACCACACCTCTCTACCCAGAGCCCATTTTAACAGGGTGTATTCAAGGCATGTCCCAGAGCACTGAAGCCCAGTACAAGCACCCTTTTATGTACGCATATGTGAAAATAATCAAATACAATGTTAGTAATAAGTTCTTCTAGAGGTACTTGGTCTACTTGGTGTCTTATTACAGTCCTTGCTTAAATATGTTTTGTTAGCTTCTCCGTCTTGCTTGTCACGTGGTTAAATGGTCACTTACCAGGTGGTGTTTTAAATGAGGACTGCATATCTGAGAGGAATTGCTGGAAAAGCATCTGAGTCATTTCTGTTGTTAATTCATCCATACTAAAGTGTGGCTTTGACAGTTTTACACCAGCTTTGTTAGGAACTGCCTTGTGTTTCCTAAAACATGCAAAAAGACATCAGAAGAGCAGCAAGTCATCAGAAAACCATCCCTGAGCCAACAACTGCATCCCCCGCTCCACACCCAGCCTCGACAGGAGATACGAAAGCAGCTCCTGTCCTCCCCTCCCTCTGCAGCTTTACTGGGGACTCCCCCTCTGACCAGTCTTTTCCCAGAACCCAGAATCTCTTCAACATCGTTAGGATCAAGTTCACTCCATGGACAATTTTCTGTCCCCAGAAGACCTTGTCTCAGCCCCAACTTTTGCCGGGACAGACTCTAGCATCATGTCTGTGGTTACAGTCCTCAACTCCGCAGCAGGAGCTAAGGAGGTGTCAGGGGCAGCCCTTGGGTGCTGGGACAGCAAACGAGAAGTGCTGCGTTATCACAGCCAAGGGGCAAATGCTGCACCCGAAATGCAGGGCTGGGGAAAGGCTGGGGAGGGGGGGCTGTGTGCACGCAGCGGTGGGCTGTGGTGGGGGAACAGCGCTGGGGGAGCAGCTCAGGAGAAAAGCCATGAACTTTGTAGACTCATGACTTCACCACATGTGCTTCTTACAAGCAGAAGGCGATGCAAACTGGAGGACCACTCAGGATGTCTAAGCTCATCCATCCTTTGCATGCTCACCCAGGGACCAAAATATTCAGGAATTGCCTGAATTGAGTGGGTCTAGAGAACAGGCACGGAGGGTACAGAAAAATAAGCTGTGTTGCATATGAAGAGTCACATACGACCTTTGTTAATATTTTGGGGCTTCTCCAGGTCTCTGACGAAGCTGGGTTCAGAGTGTGCAGTCAACGAGCCCACGGGGCAGCCAAGGTGAGCCCAGGGAGCTGTGGGCCTGCAGTGCACGCGGGCTGGGCTAGCAGACCTGCACCGCTGGACTATTGGTCACCTGAAGCAACATGTAATGCAATAGTAGACCACCTCGTGAAGAGCTTACCTGGCTCGAATAGCTGAAAAAGCCTGTAAAAGACATTTTGAAAGTAGGATTAGCATAGCACAGGCAAAGGTCAGCCCAAGAGCTGAGTATTTCTGGGAAGGAGATTCTGTTAGGTACCTTGGTGAAAAGAAGTAGGTCTTTCTGATCCCTCAGAGCCTCCAGCTTCTGTACATCACGGCTGGCTGCATCCTTCCCCTCTTTGAGTTTTTGTATCTGCGTCTGAATCTGAGAAAGCTGTTGCTCCTCATTGCGACTGAGAACTTCCAGGATCTCTCTTTTTTTGTTATCTAGCTGCTGATGCATGTCTTTGAAGAGACTCTCCAGCTGATTCCTCTGCCAGCTCTCCTTAGTCTATTAAGAAAACACTTTCAAAGCTGTTAGGGACTGAATCTTACATTTTCCATACTAACTCGCACTCAGAAAAGAGCCTGGTCTTTTCTGGGTTGAGAGAAGTAGCTACTAATTTAGTGCCTCTCCATATAACAACAAACCAAGATGTCCCACTGACAGCAAAAAGGCCAAGTGACATAAGTGGCCTTCCCCAGCATCTGGCACCTGACCAGAAAAAGATGAAAAAGTAGTGCTTCTTGCACGATGCTTGCTGAAGGCTTTCTACTATGTACATATTTCCTTATTCTGCACTGGTATTTTTCTACGGATACGTTGCATTTGGTTCTTTTAAGGCTGGGTGAGGAAAAAGAATTTCTCTTCTTGCAGCCTCCACCAAGCACTGTTTGACAGCAGCTGCGCTGCCGGGCAGGACACTGCCAACGGGTACCGGCTTGTCTTCAGACGAGAAGGGAACATTTCCTTTGCCCAGTGCCAGGACTTATAGTCCCATCACTTTTACTGTGGAGAAGGCAAGTGCCAATTCTGCCCAAGCAGAATGAACTAGCATTTGGAGACCTCTGTTAAATTCCCTGTTCTTTCAGAGCTGTTAGATACGTATTTACATGCTGGGAGCAAAAATCAGACACTTTGGGGCAATCTTTTAACCTCATTCCTACCAACTTTTTAGAACCACAGGCTAACCTAAAAGGATTTCTTGTTTTAAAGAGAAATAAAATCATTATAAGATGGTCTGTATCTTTTCCATAAATATTTTAGAGTCTACAAATTGAATAGGGGGGGGGGAAGCCAACCACCACCCACGAAGCAGGAGGCATGGACTTAACAGCAACTTTTAAGCTCAAAGGTCCTTTGGAAACTAGAAATGTATTTCCCAGAATGATAGGAAAGTTGTTCATCATCCTCCCTCAAAGAAGAAACCTAGAAAATAGCTGAGAAATTACCCAGAACTAAAAAAGCTTCGGAATCCATCATCTGGGAACAGACAAAAGAAAACCTTATCAGCTACCAGCACGCAATCGTCCCCGAAGTGATATGGGACCTTGGAACAAACCTTTACTTCCTCCTCTTGTTTCAGCAGGCTTGCTATGCTTTGATTCAGCGCCGCTTCGTGTCTTTTCACTGTTTTCAGAGTTTCAGGAAAAACACTCTATAAAAATAACCAGAGGGAGATATCAGCCTAGGACCGACATACATGTCTGAGATCAGTAATTTTATGGAAATGGTTAAGCTAGACCTGCAAAATGTTTGCTCACTGCATGCTCTCAGGACAAATCAATACTTAAAGGTTTACTGGAAGATTTTATCCCCAAACAAATACCACAATTACAAGCACGGGAAAGACATTTTGAAACTGAAAACTTCATGGGCAATAGCCACACACAAAGCTACTTTCCATGCCGATAGCTTCATTTCCGTTGCTTTGTCATTAATTTTCTTTGCATAAATGCAGCTTAGGCTGATCTTCTGGCTTTGAAAGTGCTCCAAGGACTAAAAGCATAGCCACGAGCGCTCGGTCCCACCAGTCTGGCTCCTCAGGATGAGAAGAAAGTATTTATAACATGTTGTTTTATACTCCGAGGGGCAAGCACAGAGGGAATCCAGGACAAAACTAGGAATAAAAGGCCAATATCCCAAGATGGAGATTTAGCCCCACCCTGAGTCTGTGCATCTGAAACTGGGGAGGTATTTCATCCCTGTGCTACAGGCAGCTCTCCGTGCCAGACCCCCATGGTTTTCCTAGTGCAATCCGTGCCCCGGCCACTGTCCTGGCAGCCTCTTACCTGTGCTTGTCTATGAGCCTCCTCCAAAGCGATGATCTTGTGGTTCTTGTGGGTGCTGGTGACACAGCACAGCACGCAGATGCAAACCGAGTCTGTCTTGCAGTAGCATTCCAGCAGTTTGCCGTGCTGGGAGCATTTCCTCTCAGCCAAAACCAGTGCATTACAGGGCTCCATCAGGACATGGTCTTTCAGGGAGTTATTTGTACTGTGCTTGCTCAGGTGGGCTTGGCACAGGGAGGCCTCACAGCTCAGGCAGGTCTTCGCGGCTGGCTGGGGCTCCTGAAGGCAGAAATCACACGGGATCACCTCGTCTTGCTGGGCCGAACTTTCCCCCTTCTCTTCACGTTGCACTTCGCTATTTTTCTCCTCTTCACGAGTGGGAGCATCCAAAAACTTCTGCACTATGCTGCGGAGCTGGACGTTGGGCTGCAGCTCCGTAGCGAAGTCTGCCCGGGCGCAGCACAGCGGGCAGCTGAAAAGGCTCTGCGGGCAAAGCTGGTGGCTCTGCGCCTCCTGGATGCACTTCTTGCAGAAGCTGTGACCACAGCGCAGGGACACGGGGTTGCTGTAAATGCTCAGGCAGATAGGACAGGTCAGGTCCTCCTCGAACGTGGCCACAGCACCTAGGTCAGCCATGGCACCTGAGGGCCGAGGGCTGGAGGGAGGGCACTGACGGGAAGAGAAACAGAAAGCGATAGCAGCAAGGCGCCTCTCCCTCCCTCTGTGGCCAGGAAGCTGCTGCCTCCTCCCCCTCGCAAGGGAAGGTCATCCCTCTCCTCCGCCCAGCTGCCTGCCTCTCATCCGCCACGCTGGCAGAAGCCATGGCCAGCACGGGATGAGCCCCACGCAGGCAGTTCTGGTGCCGAAGTTTGGCCGCTGCAAAAGGAGCAAGGCAAATAGTCCAGCCCTGCTTAAACGGGGAGGGCAGCAGCCAGGTGGAATTACCTCCACATCAGAGCACAAGCTCATTTTCAGCTTGCTGCCTGTTACCGGCTCCCTAATGCTTTCTTATGACCTTGACCCACTCAATGGGCATGTTTCACATGTTGGCTGTACTTTCCAAGTGAAGTTTCTTATTTTCCTTCCTAACCACTCTGTGTGTGGTTAGGTTAATGATAATTTTTTCTCTCTTCCATGGGGTTTGTGGCTTCATACTTCACTACCGCTAATCCCTTTTCCACAGTTGTCTCGAACGTGACTAACGCTGTATGCAGGGCTCACCTGGCTTTGCTGTGCCTCCAAAGCACATGAAACTGCTGCTTTCCGTCGTCCTTCCCCACCGCCTCCAGCGTGGCAGAACTGCCATTTGCAAATGTTGCCCTTAGTGCACATGGCACCAGCTGACTGCCGTGCTGCTGCATGCATCCCAACCCCAAAACCTGGTGCTGCAGAGCAAAAATCCTGTTTGCTCTGCCTGGAGCCCTAGAGGGCTGCAGAAGGGCTTGCTGCCCGCGGGAACTTGTGGGGAGTTCTGTGGATCACTCTGGGTTACTTGCTGTGCTCTGCTTGCAGGCACAGGCTGAGACAAGCTGCTGCGGTCCTGCTGCTGTGCGTGCTGCCTGCAAATCGCCTAGCCTAAAATCTTCTTTCTTTACCCTTCATTAATTACAGTTCTTAGTCCTTTCAGTGAAGAAAAATTAATTTCCTTAATTTCCTTCAGGATAGGCAGTAGATGCTGGAAGCTGCAGGTAACGGCCACTGTAAAGAATCTGCTGGTATTTCTTGGGCTGCCTGTGGGCAGCGCGTGTGGCAGAATGGGGCATGGCCACCGCCAGACAGGCTTTTTAACTTCCCTTTAGCCTCACAGCTACCCTGATGTGGGAGTGCCCCCCACCAGCAGCACTGAAGGAACGCTAAATTCAGTAGCCAGGACAGAGCTTATACCAGAAGCACCGTGGAGAGAGCAATAGCTAGTTGCCAGACGCATTTATTTTTCTGTATAGTTTTTAAATACGACAATATTTCAGTGCTGGTTGGCTCTGACAGATTGCAAAAACCCAGCAGAGCGAACCTGGATTTCCGTTTCCTGGAGGTAAACTTGACGGTGAGCTGAACCCCAGGAGTGCGGATGCTCAGAGCAGCGTCCCTCCCTCCCCTGACTGAGCGTGCCTGGGAGAGCCCCACGCCCCAGGGCGATTCCACGAGTTGTCTTTTCTCCTTGGACTGCTGAGTTGCTGTCTGGAGCTGACTTTCAGTGATGAATGGAGGTGGTGGTGACGATGAAAGCCAGGGCTTTCACCCAGGAGTTTGCCCATGTAGCAGTGCTGAGCCAAATCCTTTTCCTGCCTCTCTGCAGGCAGACACCGCTATTTTGCGGACCCATTGCAATGAAGACTCCGAGTGATCCTGTGGTGGGTTGACCCCAGCTCGATGCCAGGTGCCCCCCAAAGCCGCTCTGTCGCTCCCCTCCTCAGCTGGGCAGGGGAGAGAAAATACAGTGAAAGGTTTGTGGGTCGGGATAAGGACAAGGAGAGATCACTCACCAATTTGTAGGCGTGGCACTTCGGGACATGGTTTAGTAGACATGGTGGTGTTGGGTTGACGGTTTGACTTGATGATCTTAGACATCGTTTCCAACCTTAAAGATTCTATGATTCTATGAATTACTGTCATGGGCAAAACAGACTCAGCTTGGGGAAATTAATTTAATTTATTACCAATCAAATCAGACTAGTATAATAAGAAATAAAACCAAATCTTAAAACTGCCTTCACCCCATCCTTCCTTTCTTCCTGGGCTTAACGCGACTCCTGATTTCTCTCCCTCCTCCCCCTCAGCAGCACAGCGGGACGGGGAATGGGGGTTGTGGTCAGTTCCTCACACGCTGTCTCTGCTGGTCCTTCCTCCTCAGGGGGAGGACTCCTCACGCTCTGCCCCTGCTCCAGCCTGGGGTCCCTCCCACAGGGGTCACAGCCTCCTTTGGGTGCATCCACCTGCTCTGGCATGGGATCCTCCATGGGCTGTAGGTGGTTATCTGCTCCATCGCTATCCTCCATGGGCTGCAGGTGGTTATCTGCTCCACCGCCATCCTCCATGGGCTGCAGGAGGACAGCCTGCCTCACCATGGTCTTCTCCACAGGCTGCAGGAGGCATCTCTGCTCCGGTGCCTGAAGCACCTCCTGCCCCTCCTTCTTCACTGACCCTGGTGTCTGCAGGGCTGTTCCTCTCACATATTCTCACTTCCCTCTGGCTGCGATTGCTGCTGGGTTGTTTGGGTTTTTTTCCTTCTTAACTACATTTTCCCAGAGGCACTACCACCATCACTGATTGGCTTGGCCTTGGCCAGCGGCGGGTCCATCTTGGAGCCGGCTGGCATTGGCTCTATCAGACACAGGGGAAGCTTCTAGCAGCTTCTCGCAGAAGCCACCCCTGTAGCCCCCCTGGCTACCAAAACCTTGCCACACAAACCCAATACAGATCCAAAACCAGCACAAGCAGACACAGATGATGGGATGCGTGTGCCAGGCTCCAGGGCAATCCAACCCCCCTCTGTGCCTGTCTCTAGCAGGTTCTACATGGGCAGTCAGCCCTCAGTGGTTTGGGGAGAGCCCAGGGCATCGTGTGCATGTGTGCACTACTGCAGAGTCGACAGTCTTCCTCCAAAGTCATCGCTATTATTAAGGCGATGAGGAGGTGTCTTCCCTCTGCCCTGCAGGCTGCTGACCGGCAGACAGGCACTCTCCCTGGCCGTCTGCTGCTCCTTCGGTGCTCAGCCTCTGCCCGGGCAGCCGCTTGCTCATGGTGATCACAGCACGAGTGCAGGAGCAAGGAGGGGTCCTTGTGGATGTCGAGCTGAAAGGGAAGCAGAGCCGTTCAGGAAAGGAGAGAGGCGGCAGCACTGCTGTGCGGAGCCGGCTGCCTCCCAAGAGCCCCGCACCAGCACCTCGCCCATCGCAGCCGCTGCCGGGGCAGATCTGCTGCTGTTGCCCTGGCTATCAAAGGGTCTGTTCAGCCAACGCTGAGCATGGCCCACTGTGCACTGCAGGCAGCAAGAGCCTGCAGACATAAGGAACTGGAAATGCTCCCTCAGAGTCAGCAGGGTGATGGGGTTCGGGGTGAGCAGGGTTAGTGCTAGAAAAGCCAGCGGGGAGAGGATGGTGCCTTCTTACCTGCAGGAGGCTGCTGAGAAACACGAGGGGTCCAAGTCTGAGTTTGAAAAGATATTTGAAGGCAGAGATGGCATATGAAAAACTTAAAACATATCCAGCCAAGAACTGAGTGGGAGAGAAAGAGGGAGCAGAGATTGCAGGACCCAAAACCAGCAGCACCTGGAGAAAGCTCTCCACTGGCATTTAAAAACACACAGCAAGCACAGGAGGCAGAAGCTGCAGGTGTCTTAGGGAGGGAGATGCAAAGCTTGGGAGGAATGGGAAGGAAAGGTGGGAGGGGTCCCCTGTGGGCAGCTGCTGTGGGCAGGGAGGGCAGTACCGCGGGCAGGGAGGTCCCCAAGCTGGCAGGGAGCAAAGGAAACAAACCTGTCCCTGTTCCTCCCTGCAAAGATACCTGGACGGACCTGGACAACAAGCTGGGACTGATAAACGCTGAGAGTGGGCAAATGCATACATTACTCGAAGTATGGCCTGTAGAACCCCCTGGACAGACCTTGTGTGCCCAGGAGCTGAGGTCCACGTCAGGGAGCAGGGAGCTCCTGCGGCCAGCAAAGCCCAGGGCAGGATTTGGTGCCACTGCCCAGGGCACGGGTGGGAGCCGAACCTCCCAAGGGCAGCCAGGACAGCTCACCGGGCAGTGAAATAAATCCCAAGCAACAGGCATTTCACACCTGTCGGGAGCATGAGCCTGGCGTGGCGTTTCCAGACGCTGCCTTGCTGTGCCCCTGCCCACCCGTGAGCCTTTCTGTGGGCTCTTGCCTGTGGGGCAGGGGGGGGTCCCACCAAGCCGGTGGAGCCCGGGGCAGCCGTGGTCTCAGCCAGCCCCGCTCAGCTGGGCAGATGTGGGCACTGCCATGCTGCCCTCGCTGCCCACACTGCCCCTGCTGTGCCTGCTGCCCGCATTGCCTGTGCTGCCCACGCTACCTGCTGCCCACACTGCCTGCCAGGTGCTAGCCAGCCAAGGTCAGCAACAAAAGCTGTCCCTATTTACAAAAGCCCGTTACTGACTTATTTTCTCCTCCCACACAGCACAGCGTGCCTAGCGCAGGAAATAACGCTGCATCCCATCCCTCCGGCAGCTGGAGGGCTGCCTTACAAGCTACAACAAAAGCAGCGCCCGGCTGTGTGAAAGGAAGCCATTTTATCACAAAGTTATACCAAAATGAAGAACTGTTTTGTTGGGATTTTTTTCCCAAATGGCTGGAAGTAATTGCTGGGACTAATGGAGCTGCTGAATGATGTGACTCACCAACAGCTCCCTTCCATCCCTAGGTCTGCTTGCACCGTACTCGATAAACAGCACCGGTCCTTTATTTCCAGGAGTTTGCCTGGGAATGCAGCTCCGAGTGGCGTGGGTCAGGCTGGGAGGACAAGCCTCAGCTGCGGGTCTGTTCCTCCCCATGGATCCCTCCTTCCTGTGCCCCTGCTCCATCCCTGGAGCCCTGCCAGGGGGGACCTCAGTCCATCCCGCAGCCCTGCCGATTGGGGACCTAAAAAAACACTTGCATCTGCCCCGGGCACCCCAAC